TACATAAGTAAGAACCGTTGTTTGCACAATTTGAGAGATGCAATAATGTGGTAAAAATGTTGCACATCTCTTAATAACTGATAGACCTCTTCCCATAACTATTACTTATATTTTCTATCTGTTTTGACCACTTCAGCTTACTGTCTAGCATAACTCCAAGAAGTCTGATTTCCTCTACCTGTTCAATATGCATTGCTTTGCGTTAGTTTTTGAAACCGGAAGCAAAAAATACCGTTTTAATGCATGCCTGGTGTTAAAATTATGACTAGCACTACTATACAAAAGTTGACAGTACAGTACACTTGAAACTCTAGATACTGAAATATTTCTTATAAAACAAAGCAGAGAAACAATTGTCCTATCCTTCACAAGTATCCAACCTAGAATTTTGTGCGTTCTCATAATATTAACTCTTTTGTTAGAGTTCAGAGTAAGTCGTGCAGCTCTATTCTGGACTAACTGTAATTTTTCCAAGTCTTTACTTGATGTAATCGACCATACCACTGGACAGTAGTATTTTCTATCTGTTTTGACCACTTCAGCTTACTGTCTAGCATAACTTCAAGAAGTCTGATTTCCTCTACCTGTTCAATATGCGCACTCTTTACAGACAAATTTAATTGTGGTTTGAGTTTAAGTTTAGAATTTGATCCAAACACAATACTTTTGGTTTTTGTCAAATTTAGAAATTTATTTGGTCAGTTTTAGAATGTATTATTCCGTACCCACTTTACCACTAATTGTAAGTCCTCATCTAAATCAACAGATAATTTTTCAATTAATGTTGCTGGTAGATATAATGTTGTATCAACTGCGTACATAACTGTTTTTGCACGCTTTAAAACCAAAGGAAGATCACTGGTAAAAATAGAAAATAGCAATGGTCAAACAACTTGACAACTAAACAACTTCCTTGAGGCACACCTCATTGTAACTCTTTCACTTCCGAATAACTTCCATTATAAAATACACATTGCCTCCTATTAGTCAAATAACTTTTAAACCAATGTACAGTCTGAGAAGTAAATTTATAACATTTAAATTTTTCCAGCAATAATTTATGATCCAATGCATCAAAAGCGGAGCTAAAATCTAACAATGCTGCTCCTACTAAATTATTATCATCAATCTGTACTAAACAATCATCTGTGCTAATGCTGTTCCTGTTGAATGTCCTTCTTGATATGCATGCTCAGAATCAGAGTAAATTATTATCCTTAAAGAAGAATTTAATTTGTTCACAGACTATCGTTTCAAACACTTTACTAAGAACTGGCAGTAAACTTATTGGTCGACTATTAGCACCATTAACACTCAGTGCTGCATTTTTCTGTAGAGGAATAACCTTTGCTTCTTTCCAAGCTAAAGGAAAGATCCATATTTTAATACTGATATTAAAGATGTGGCAAACTGTTTCCGCCAAACAGCTGGCTGCTAATTTTACAAGGCGGCCATCTAAGTTATCCATTCTCGATGGTTTATCTATATTTATAGTTGATAATTTTTGTTCCACTTGTTGTACATTTACTTTGTTCAATTCAAAGCAGAGGGCTGGCTTATCAATTATAATTTTTTCAGTTTGACTTTCACTTGATGGAATATTATCAGTTAACATTTCTTCTCTTAGTTTATGTACTTTATTTTCAAGTGCATTATTTTCTTTAGGGTTCAAGCAGGTTTCAATTGAGTTTACTCTCAATTGCTGTTTATGAATAGTGTTGATTTATAGGACTCATTTAAGCTAAGTTTTTTTTATTTTAAACTAACGGTGTACACTACAGTTTTCAGTGCGCACGGCATCCCAGACACCAATATTTTGACGTTTTGTAAACAATTAATAACTGAGATTTTGCTATGGAGATAAAGGTTAGGATCATGATTTATTAGTAGTACTACAACATATTGTGAGTGTATATTAGCACAGTTTGTTGTTTGCTTTTAGGATCTGAACTGAACGTTTGAACCTAGAAACAGTGGTACATGACTTTATATAACACTCCTGCTTCATAACACTGTAACCACAGTCAATCTGTAGTTTAAAAAAATCTCACAGAGTAGTGAAGTTGAACTTACTAGGGTTTGAATATAGTATTCTATAGTTTGGCCTCATTGCTCTGCAATCGGACCCAGAGCGTGGTAATGATTGCTTTCAGTCACTCTCGCTGACTGATGGAAAAACTCTGACAGTCCAGGCACATCGAGATGTGCCCGCAAAACTGACTCCTGCTGTGATGAAACATGACAAAGGGGGAATTTTCTCATTTGTTATCCTCCTGGAAGGCAGACAAAACAATGAGAGACATTATGGAAATCAGCACGACAGCACACGTCACCCTCGACCTGCCCTGACTGCGGCTCTGCGCTCAGTATGGGCTTATCTTTGTCTCAACTGTCAGCGCAGTCATTGCTATTCTTAGCGTAATCAGTAGAAACAGTCCGCATGGAAATAGACCAGTTGCCCTGACATTAAAGCCTACTTGGTGATACAGCGTAAAGAAATATAGCAGTGATGTGTGTAATAAAGAAGGAAGAGGCATATTTTACAAAGGCAATGAAATGTATTGTGATATTAAAGGAATTAGTTCACCCAAAAATGTAAATTCTGTCATCTTTTACTCACCTTTGTGTCGTTCCAAGCATGTATGACTACCTCTCTAGAAATAAAACAAGATAATGGGTCCTAAACAGCATTGGGTTCCAGAAATATAGCTGAAATTTCTGTGCTTCCCAAAACCATAATTTATAGAAACCATAACCACCAAGTAGTACGGTTTTGTACACATTAAAAATAGTTCCATATTGTTAAAATAGCGTAGTTTGAATGATGGATGTCACTACTACGGTTTCAGGAAACAGTTGTGACTATATACAGTAGCTGTATGAGACATGCGTCCCAGGTTTGGCACGACATGAGGGTAAATGACAACTTTTTCTTTTTTTTTGGGTGAACTTACCATACTGAATACAACACTGCTTGTATTTGGTCCTCTAAACCATCCAAGTGCAGGTTTTATTTCTGTCCTTGTCCAGTCTCTCTTATATGATTTGTTGTATTTTTAGCATGCTGTTGGCTCAAGTGTCATTTGTCTTCAAATGTGGTCAACAGAATGCCTTTATTAGAGAATGTCACGCTTTAACAACAAGCAATCACTCAAACCCCTCTTAAAGAGTGTTGCAAGACCCTCAGCTTTTGTCGTTTAGTAGCAATCAGTGCAAGCGTTGCCCCCTCTGTTCTAAAGTCAACAATATCACCAGATGCAATTTCCAGGAAGAGCTATGGCCGAGTGATATTGAGTCTGCATGACCAAAATCCTTCTCTCACACACTTTCTTTTTTGAGTATGTTTGTGTTTTTCTGGGAAAAAAACAAAATGGCTGTTTATACAGAAGCATACTATGGTTGTCGGTCCTGTTTTAAAGCTAAATATGTTTCTGTTCACACACAGTTCAGATATAAACAGGATTCTATAACCAAACTGACTTTTAATTTCTAACTGCTTGATTTGTGATGATGTGCATCAGCATGTTCCAATATACTCAAATCCAATTAGAACAAATATTTAATTGGAGCTAATTACATATGAGTGTGGAGAACAAACACCTCCATACCCTTCCTCTCTCCCTTTCCATTTTTTTCAGTAATGTGCAATTTTAGTGTGGATTTTTTTCTTTAATATCAGTAATTTTTCCATTTCCAAGTTTATCTCTATGCCTCTGGGGGCTCTGAAAAGGTTGACTCATTTCAATTAAAATAATAAGCCTACATGATAACAAGAAAAATTCCTTCTGCGCCAAATCGCAGTCATCTTAATGAAGGGGGTTGTGTTTTTTTAGGGGAGGGACGGCACAGACTGAATGTTAACATGTCTCTTTTGTGTCTCTGTCGGTCACCTGTTTTGTCCTGGCTTTGACTCCTGTCTTTAGTCTTTTCTGTTTGTCAGTTACTTTTACGCATTGCCTTGATGCTGTCTACAGCGTTTTTGTGTTGTTTCACTGTTTTATCTCAATCGTTTTCCTTTCTGTCTGGTGTTGTATAGCCTGTTCTGTACCTATTTTCTATTTCTTTTGCCTATTTTTTGTGCTATTTTATATATACTATAGTGTCTTTTCTCTACGTTGTATCCTGTTGATACACCTAATACAGTATTCACCCATTAGCCTGTTTGGCTCGTTCACTGACGTCTGTGAAGCTTAATGGAGACTTACTCATGGACGATTTTATGCTAAATTGAAATGCAAGTTACTTTTTAATATTTACAAATAAGGAATAAGTGACAGGTCTCAAATGCATTAAACAGCACAAATATATATGAGTTAGTTTGAAACACTTAATGTAAAGCATGTCTCATGTTTAGGACAACTTGGATCATACTACACCCCATACTATATCCAGGTACTATATAGTCTATAGCATTTTCTATACCATTTATCTTTATAATAAATGTTGTATAACCTATACCTATTCTTTACCCCAATGGTTCTCAAACTGTGGTACATGTATCATTGGTGGTACACAGAGTTCCCCCAAGTGGGTGGTCTCATCCTCTCATGTATATATACAGTATATAATTATTATTTTTTTTTTTTCATTTCTAGTTTGTGATTTATTTACAGGCATGATACAGCTTTGTTCTTCTAAGTCACTATTGGATACTCCTTATTATTTTGGGATGTTAAGCTGCGTGCACACTGGTGTTTATGTACTGATAAGGACCACTTGCATCAGAGTATACACAGTATAATTTTAATCCACATGCAAAAAAGAGCAGCGAAAATTGAGCCAGTCGATATCAAAGGCAAGATATTAATCTATTTGACCTCAAGGCTGTTTCATGAAGACAAACTTTAAGAGTGGTCTGCTTTTGATTCCAAAAGTTTTCTTTACTCTATATACTGTTTAAATATAGCCTATTGAATGTCACGGGAATAAACCTGTTGTCGGTCTTTGAAAATGATCAGGATTTGACAAGATCTCTCCAATGGTCTCTTTTGTTCTCTTAGTATATGTGCGGTTTAACTCCAGACATGGATTCCCGGTGGAACTGGAACAAGGTGCGAGTGTAGCTGAGCTGAAAGAGACGGTGGGACGTTTACAGGGAGTACAGCCTGATCGACTGCGGGTCATCTTTGCTGGACGAGAGCTATGCAATGAATCCACACTTCAGGTGAAAAGATTGCTTATGGAAATATTATACTTTTTTTACAAACTTAAGTAGGTCTTAATACATCTTTATGTAAATTACTGCTATCGCATTTGAAACATGGTTAAAGTTTACTGCCAAATGTAATGTCAAGCATTTATGGTAAACTAAAATATATGTCAGTGTCATTTCTATTCTATTTTCTATTAACTTTAAATGTAATATTGAATAACACTAGACTACAGTTAAAATTATAATCATGTGTAGGGCATGTGATTAACCATTGGGCTAGGCGGGGCTGAAGCCCCAGGTGTCCGAGCAAGGAGGGGGCCCGTGATTGGCTGTGGAGTAACTTGACGGACATCAGTAGCGCCGATCGCCCCTCACTTTTTAGCTCTATTATTTAGTGGAGTTTTTCCGTAAATTCCATGCATTACCATTAGAGATTAAAATGTCACATTTGAATTTGGTTTACCAATCAAATGCATTTATTATATATATTACTTTTGAACAAACTGTGCACGTAGCCTATCTATGAGGTGATCGCTGCGCCTAATGTCTGCATTTACCTCTCTTCACTTCATTCTGGTGTAATCTAGAAATGGTCGCACATATATGTCGCCGCACGTGCTACGAAAAAACTGGTCTGTGCGATGAATAAATTTACCACTGTAGCACGCGTGCGATACAGATTTGCATGTTCATAGCACAGCCACTTAAAAGTGTGAAGTGATTTCGTTGTGCTTGTTTGTGTGTGTGAGATTGATTACAGCCTACTTGGTAGTTAGGGCTGTGTGAAATGATTATTAAAATGTCTCCACGATCTACTTTTGAAGAAATGTCATAGTATCGTGCTACAGCACACATTCTATCAGATGCAGTTCTGGCGCCTCCATCTCAATATAGGCTACTGTAGCCTAGTGCAACGCGACACATCCATATCTAATGTTAACTTAGAAGTAGAGTTACACTCACAGGACACAGCACTTATTTCGCAATCACAAAAGTACATTATTTGCATCTGCTTCAAAGGTTACACATTCCTTTCACCCGCTGTTCTGACCGCTGTGCTTTTTATAAGCCTATACACTTGAAGCGCGTGCAAACTACGAACCTATTAAACAGCACCTGATTACTAGACTAAGTTGTCTTTCGCGTCTGACTGATTTTGCGTCTAATACTGTCAAAACACACAAGGTTTACATATAAACACAATTAGTTATGCCTAAAATGATAGTGAACAATTGAGAGAGAAATGGATGCGTGCAGCTCTTAAAGCGACAGTACTAAACATGCTGCCGCTTGCCATTAAAGGAATAGTTCACCCCAAAATTTAATTTCTGTCATTATTTACTCACTCACATGTTGTCCCAAACCTGTATTAATTTCTTTCTCGTGCTGAACACAAAGAATTTGGGTAACCAAACAGTAGCTGGTCCCCACTGACTTTGACAGTAGGGGGAAAAATGGAAGTCACATAGGAACCAGCAACTGTTTGATTACCGTATTGACCCGAATATAAGACAATGTTTTTTTTCTTGGAAATACGTCTGAAAAAACACGGCCATCTTATATTCAGGGTCAAGACTTTGACATGTCAATAATACACCCACAACAATAGGTGGCGCCAAATACGCATAAAACGAGTGTGCCATGAAATACGTAACGTAATGCGTGTTGTAAAGATCGCGAGTAAAAACAAAAGAAAAAGAAAAGCTTACAGCTGCATGAGTCGTGACTGTCACGTTAGCCTGATGGGACCAAACTCTCTTTGTGATTTTAAACCGTAAGACAGTACCCAGATTTGAAGACTACAGTAAGATTTAACTTCTACTGTTAATAAGATTTTGGTGGGATACTATTAGATGGATAGCCTAAATGTCCTAATTCAGATGGGCTACCTTTTTTTTTTTTTTTTTCATGGTATATCAAAAAGTGTATATTTTTTAAATATGATTGTTGGTACATTTTACCAGTTTTTAACCATACTTTCAAAACAAAAATTAAAATAGGAAAAATATGCAATATAAAAATTATTGAAGACAAAATGTGTTTTACTGAGAAAAAAACAAGATTTGGTTTTTAAAAAGCCTTTTTCCAAAAGGTACATCTGGAAAAAGGGGGGTTGTCTTATAATCAGGGTCATCTTATATTCGGGCCAATATGGTACATCTTTAAAATAACGTTTACGTTCAACAGAAGAAAGAAACTAATTCAGGTTTAAAACAACTCGAGAGTGAGTAAATGATGGTATAAAAAATAAAACACTATGAAACAACTACAGAATTGACAGACAGCAGAATTTTAATTTTTGGTGAACTATTCCTTCAATATTAATAAAACAACAAAACACAGAGAAAAGTCACTGCTCTTGACTGATGAACTTTAATACAGTTGCCTTAAAAAAAAAAAAAAGGATAACTGATGTATATAGTGTTTTCGGGCCAGAGTGGAAAAAGGATTTCCCTTGGTTAATTTTTGATGCTGACCAACAGCTCTTGTTTAGAGGAATTCAATCCAAATGGTGTAGCAGCTAAATGGACTTCTTCTAAAAGGGCCAGGAGACCAAATACAAAAGAGTGGCCAGCAGACATGCTAGATCGGTAACAAACACACTATGCATGCACTAAAGTAAAAAAAAAAAGATGCAACTGTTGAGAGTCATTAGTCTCATAGAGGAGTGTCAAGGTATAGGCTAGTTTGCTAGTTTGCAAATGTAGTGTTTTATTTAGAGTTTTTATTTAGTGATGTCTGCCTACAGATCTGTTCTACTTTGATGTGTAATGTTGAGGTGTTATGTTTCTGCACGCTTCCATTTTTAGCAAATAAAGAAAAACTTAGTCTAAAAACAATTTTTGTGATGGTTTGTATTTTTTGTGCTATGGAACATCAATGCCTGTTTAAAGGCACAATATGTAAGATTTTTTTTATTAAAATATCCAAAAACCACTAGAACAGTGTTATATATTTTGCTGACTTGTGTACTTACATTATCCCAAATGTTTCGAAGAATGTTTAAATCCAGAGAAATAAGCAATTTTAACTAGTGACACGGAGCGTGTCTATAGTGTCATTGTGTCACCTGCCAATGACGTAATGTCATAACCCCTCGATTTCCGATTTTGTTTTGTAGAAAACATGGAAACACCAAAGACGCTTTAATATGTTGTGCGTTTTAACAGACCGGTGACGACCGCACAGAGTAGCATAATAACAGAACTTTCAAATGTATCGAGTATGATAAAACAGCGCTGTTTTTCCCCCCACATACGCACGACCGGAAGGAGCGGAAGCGGTGGACTGTGGCATAATAAAAGCTCCGCTGCTTTCGAGCCGTGTGTCACGCTCGTTCAGCGACCTCGTTTCGCTTCGACGGTTTTCAGCCTCACCCTGCTTCATTCTACTACGTTAATAAATCATTAGCTCATCCATGAACTTGATTTCTGCCCGAGTCCCGTCGGATTGCATCGGCTGTGGGGATGAAGACAACAACTCCCATGATTCCACACTCAGTCACAGCGTCATCAAACTATGCCTTTGCCTCTTTGTTTATTTTGAATATGCGCCCTCTAGCGGCGAAAATTGCATATTGTGCCTTTAAGTGATGCACTCCATTACTTGTTTTCAGTACTTGTTTGCTTTCAGACATGATAACAGATGTTTTATACTTGTGCTACAACTGTTTGGCCTGTGCTACAAAACGTTCAACCTCTGTAGCACCAGTGCTATGTGCAAAAAAAGTTAACATACAGCCCTGAGAGGGGAAAACATGAGCGAGTCACTAAAATCCACAGCTAGTTTATTTTACTAAAGCTGACGATGGAGTGGGAGTTGTGGAACCGCAAATGGACCGGTTACATGGAGCAGATAAAAACACAGCGTCATCATCCCCACAGATTTTAGGTTAGTTTGATTATTAACTTGATCGATGTTGCTTTTTGTGTTCTAACTAATTTTATAGGCCTAGTATATTTGCTTATGGGTTGAGAAATTCATTTTGCGCGTCGTGATGTAGGGGAGAGTGGGGCACAAAGTAAAACTTTTTGACTTTCTCAAATTGTGTAAATCCACATGGGGTTCAGAGTATAATTTTATAATCCACAGTAATTTCACACTTGTCTAGTACAAATATATCGCTTTGTTTCATAATTACAGTGTATACGTTTTTCTTTATTTACCCTCAAAAATTGGAAGTGAAATGCGACAACATGCCCCGTAGGTGGGGTACATTGTAACATCTGAGGGGCACGTTGTAACATGACCATATAACAGATTAAAATGTTATCTGATCGAATGAAAAAAATATACAAGACAAACTAAAACATTTTGTCAATAAAATTAAATATTTATTTATTTCAAATAAAATAATGGCGTTTTTTAAGAATTAAAAATAATCAGATTTTGGAGTTTGACAATGAACACATTGCAACCATGCTTGGGACGGCCCACATAAACGAGCCAAAATGCTTTACATGTCTTGAAATAAT